AATGCTGGGCCAACTCAGCCCCCCAACCAGCTCCAGCCCATGATGAGCAGACATCATACGCTTCTTCCTTCCGCGCTGGCCACGTTTTCTGGATCGTAGCGGCGCGCGTGGACGTGCTCTCCCGCCTCGGCTCCATGCCGCACACCTGGCGCGGAACGGCTGCCCTGCCTCAGCGCGGCCACATCCCTGCTCCGCCTCCCCGTCCCACATGCCTTGCACCTCACGCCACTTCCCCGTCCCAATGGGCCGACCACAGGGGCGAACGAGCGAGCGGCTGAATGCCGTCCACAATGCGATACCTCTGGGAGCCTCCCATCTATCTTGTCGCCTCTTGCGAATCGACGCTGATCGACGCTGAATAGACGCTAATCGATGCTAACTGACGATAAATCGGCGCTGCCTCATCGACTCCCAGACGCAAATAGACTCGAATCGACGCTAAAGACGGAAGTAAAAGAGTATACCAGGCCCCCATGGCTTACTACCGAAAAAGAAACGAGAATCAGAGGACGTCAGGGGCACTTCGTATCAAAGAAGCCGCGGGGATCGACGGACTGCACGCGGTGGACGCGGAGACCAGAGACCCCAAGTGCACGGAGAAGGCGCGTGCCCAAGAAATCAGTGTTAGGTCGGGCATGTCCTCTTACAGACGGATTTTGGAAGAGAGAAATCCAACAGATGCATACAATCATCAAACATAGCCAAAAGAGCACGAAAAATCAGCCACTAACCATTTTTTACTATTCTTGATTATTCCTCCTGTAGAGGGAGATGCCCGATTTAGCAGTAGTGGCTCCCACTCCAAGAGCTTAGCGCTCCGTTGGCCCTGGGTGTCGTCGGCAGTGGCAGTCGCCAGCGAGCGCTTTCGGCTTTGGGCTGTCGCCTAGCTTTTTGCCCCGGCCCGGTTCACACGCAAGCTTCGCAAGCCCGAGTCGACCAGGGCTGCTCGCCCTAATTGCGTTGCAGAGCGGAGCCCGCCATCCCCCACCCAAGCGGCCCTCACGCAGAAGCTGCAGGAGGGCGCGCGGACTTCTCGGGTCGCCTCTGGACCTCCCTTCCGCTCGCGTGCGACGCGCGCCAGAGGGCGGCGTTTGAGGCGCCAGCAGGCGGGTCCAGCACCGACCCAAGGAATCCGAGCGGACCTCCAAACATGTACACGTCGGTCGGAAGATGTAGGTAAAAACATACAGTAGGAACGCGGACAGAGTGGATTGGGTCCAGGCCCTCCCAGAGAACAACAAAACACAGCAAAAGCATACCGATTCTTGAAGTAGGAAGGCGCCTGATCTGGGAATCCAAAAATACCTACTTCCAACGACCGGCGTGCATTTGTAAATATCGTCCGCCTGCGATTTGTTCACTGTTTGGGTATAGTCCTCCTGTGGAGGGACACGCCCGACTTAACACCACCGTTGCCCACTTGTTGGTCGCGCCGCGCAGCAATGCAGGCGCTCGGTCAGAGCTCCGCGCGCCCCACGCAAGAACGCAAGAGTGGAAGTATGGCTTTGCGGGGCGCAGGTGGGAGGCGGCTGGTGGTCTGCGCTGCATGGGCCAGGCGCCATGATCTTTTCACAGCGTCGACCCTCTCCCTCCTCCCTACTCCCTCCTCCCCCCTCCTCCTCCTCGTCCTCCTCCTCCTCCTCCTCCTCCTCATCCTCCTCCTCCTCCTCCCAAAGGTCTCGACCCATTCCCCTGGACCGGTTTCCCATCCTGAGGCGGTTTTTGACGGTCCAGAGCGGCGAGGGCCTCCATAGGCTGCAACTGGGGAAAAGCCTCCCGTCATGATGATTGTTCACTCCCCGAGGGGGTCCGGGGGCCAGATCCGCTCGAAATCTGTCCACAGACCCCTGCCGAGGTCAAAGTGTCCAAGTTTTCCGAGCCGCGCCCAGCCGCAGCGACGAGAAGCCCCCAGGAGGTTCCAGACGGACGAGAAGGCGCCCTTCCCCCTCTTCTAAAAGGGGCCCAGGTACACACACACACACACACACCAAAAGCAAGTAGACAGAAATCCCAGGATCCCCCATATTTGTCGCATACGTTCTGTACTTTCGTCTTCCCCCCACTTCCCATACTTTCCCATACTTGCCTGGGGATCGACAAGTCATGGTGTCTGTGTCTTCTTTCCCCTCCCCACCTGTTATGCTGGCGGGAGCCAGTACTAGGCCACTTCAGTCCCCGAGCCCGCGCCGAGGCGGAGGAGGGGGACACAAATGAAAGGACCCTGGGACACACAAATAAATACACACAAATAAAAAGATTCCCCATATTTTCTAATATGTTCTAGGTTTTTGTCTTCCCCCCACTTCCCATATTTTCCCATATTTTCCAGGGAATCGACGGTTAATTGTGTCTGTGTGTTTCTTTCCCTCCTGAAGGAGGCCGAGGCAGCAGCGAAAAGAGGCAGGCAGAGGCCAAGCCAGCGTGCGCGCGCCCTGGCGACCGGCAGCACCCCCCATCGCGACCCCGTCGTCGACCCGTTGGTGGCCCGCGCAGGGTCGCAGTGCTTCTGCTGGGCCGCGATCGGCCAGGGCGCGGCCAGAAACGAGCCCAGCCTGAATAGTAGAAACAAAATTCCCAAAAACAAAAAAAACAAAAAAACAAAAAAAAACTCTGGGCACAGGTGGTCTAGCGATGTCACACTCTCCTCTTCCAGAACCCCTTCTTCCCCTCCTGGGAGGGGTTCACCCCTCCCCTGGACCTGGACGGAGGGTTTCGCAAGGTGTCAGGTCGTCCAAGATAGCCTGAGATGGCTCCAAGAGGGCCGCAGAGAGCTCAAGATGGCCTCCAAGATCGCTCAAGATAGCCCTACCTGGCTCAAGATAGCTAACAACATGCCCCCAAGAGGCCCCAAGAGGGCGACAAGACAGTTCCAGATGCTTTTGGATACCCCTCAGGACCTCCCAGGGAAGCCAACATCCTTCAAAAACTTGGCCCTTCTCCCCCCTGTTCGCCTCTGATGCGTTTTTGAGCCGTCAAGGTGGCCCCAAGATGGCCGAAGAGAGTTCCAAGAGCGCCCAAGAACGCCCCAAGAGCGTCCCAAGAGGCTATGTTGATGGCCGCAGAGGGGGGACTAAACGGTAGGACCCCCCCTCTGTTTACCGACACCCTCCACGACAGCCCCAAGAGGCCCTCCGTGGCTCCGAAGAGAGCCCCAAGCAAGCCCCAAGAGAGCCCCAAGAGGGCCCCAAGAAGCGCCCAGGTGGCCACAACAGGCCCCCAAGAGGCCCCCCAAGAGGCCCCAAGAGGCCCCCAAGACGCCCCAAGAGGCCTTCAGGAAGCTCACAAGGACATCCGAAGTGACTCCGACCTCCTCCTCCTCCTCCTCCTCCTCCACCTCCTCCTCCTCCTCCTCATCATCATCATCATCATCAGATCATCATCACCATCACCATCACCACCATCATCAGCATCATCATCAGCATCACCATCATCATCATCATCACCATCATCAGCACCATCATGATAATCATGATCATCAGCATCATCATCATCAGCATCGTCGTCGTCATCATCAGCATCCTCATCATCATCATCAGCAGCAGCATCATCATCGTCATCTTCATCGGCATCGTCGTCATCATCATCATTAGCAGTATAATCATCAGCACCATCATCACCACCGCCACCATCACCACAAACACCACCACCACCACCATCATCATCATCAGCAGCAGCAGCAGCGTAATCATCATCGTCCGCCTATTCCTCCTCCTCTTCCCTCCTCCCTCCTCCCCCATCCCCCTCCCCCTCCTCCTCCTCCTCTTCATGCTCCTCGTCGTCTTCCTCCTCCTCCTCCTCCTTCTCATCCTCCTTCTCATCCTCCTCCTCCTCCTCATCCTCCTGCTCTCCTCCTCATCCCCCTCCCCCTCCTCCTCCTCCTCCTCCTCATCATCATCATCATCATCATCCTCCGGGCTTCGCTCAAAATCGCCCCTGGCACCCCGCAGTCCCCTCGAGCCGCGCCCGGCCGTGGTGGCGACCTCCCCCTTCCCCGAGGGCAAACGGAGAGTGAGAAACCAGGCTCGAGGATGGACGCGCGAGGAGGAGGAGGAGGAGGAGGAGGAGGAGGCCCTCCTCCTCCTCCGAGGGCAAACGGAGAGTGAGAAACCACGCCGTTGGGCTCTCCATCCCCTCATCACCTCCTGAGGGGAAGCGCCAAAGGGGGACCCGACGTCGCCGATGGATCGCAGACAGGCCTCCGATAGCGAACCCGCACGGTCCTGAGCGGGGTGGACTATCGGGGGCACGCGGTCGCCCAATCCATGGATCGGGGGAGGTGCCCTCCCCAAAATGCGGCCGGTGCCGCCTCGCCCGGCGGCGGAAATCCGCGATCTCCCACGGAATCGGGACCCGCCGCTAATCCACGCTGACGCTTGATCCATGTCTGCGCTCGCCCGAGACTAGGCGACGAATCGGCGATTGGGGGTCTTGGGGGCCCGGGAATGGCCACCGACACACGGGAGGGATGGTCCCGGCTGCTGGGGACAAAGGTGCTCTCTTGGCCACCCGGCAGGCCCGCAGAGTACAACAAAGGGGCCGAGGGACACACAAACAGATGCACACAAGTCCCAGGCTTCCCCACATCTTCGGGGCTTTCGTCTTCCCCCCCCCACACTTCCCATGTACCCCATCTTTTCCTGGGAGTCGACGATGACTTGTGTCTGTGTGTTTCTTTCCCCCTGATACCAGCACCACCGAGATCAGGATCGCCTTTCCCTCGGCAGAGGCAACCGCCGATGTTGGCGTTGGTGTCTCGACTACACGCAAGAGTGACCCTGGGAAAGAGTGGCCTATGGTGCGCGGCCTTTTCGGGGGCCGCGGGGCCAAGCACGAGCGCGCAAGACGCTACTGCGGCATCGCGCTCGGCGATCGGGGGGCCCCAGTAATTGTGCCTGCACCACAGGGTCACTCCAGCGAAAGGTCACTGTTACGTCTAGCCGAAAGCCAACCTGGAGGCCTCCGATCGTCTCCTCTGAGCCCGCCCTCCGTCCCCGGCGGTCCTGGTCCACGCAGGCCGTGGAATTCAGCGCACGGGCAGGCACGGCCTTTTGGCGGCGCGCACAGGGGGGGGAAGGGGGGAGGGGGCAAGGCTTCTTAGAAGGAGGCTGCTTCTTGGAAGGCGCTGGCCCTACACCTGCAGACAAGGCCCGCGCCATCTAAGAAGCAGGGGTGAAGAAGCCTCCCCCTCTCCCTTGAGCAGGGACCGACCGTCCCGGCATTCCTACAGGCCTATCACGACATGTCATTTGAGAAGAAATGCTCGAATCATTAAAAACAGTTCTCTTGGAGCATGAGCCCGATGTGTTGAAACAGAGCAACATCGGCCAGAAATGTCCCACGAACACGCCGTGCAGGCCACGACAGGTCCTCAGAGCCTTCTTCTCTGGTGGGCCTGTAGGCAAGCTGGGACCCTTCGCCACTGCTTGACTCCCATTACCCCACTCTGCGCGTGGCCGAGCCTTGGCAGCGGCCGAGAGCTGCCGCGGCAACAAGGGGCTGCCCGCCGCGCCGCGCGGGGGCCGGCGCTGCGCCGCGGCGGGCGCGGAGTGCGCCGCGACGGGCCGCGCCGCGACTGGCGCGGTCACCCAGGGGAGCGCGCTGCGGCGGGAGAGCGCCGCGGGCGCGGCGGGCGCGGCCGCAGCCGCGCGCCGCTGCGCCGGGCTGCCTGGGGGGAGGGCCGACATGCCACGAAAACGTGTGCACAGACACCCTCCGACGAGCTCTGCACGCACCTGCAGGGAGGGGACGGTGTGTAGAGTTGCTGGCTCCCGGTGGTGATTTATTCACCGCCACCCTCCCCGGATCGGGGGCGGTCAAGAGGGGGGCGTCCGAGAAGGCAGGGGGGCGCAAATCATGACCGGCGGCATGTGCGCGGCCCAGGGGGGGGGGGGGGCAAGGATGTAATGGCATGAGAAGAGGCGCCATGAAATCTGGGGAGATATCACGGCCCACGCCATGACATCCGCCCCCCTAGTCATCACCCCCCTCTTTGCCGCCCCCAAACTGAAGCCCAGGGACAGTCCAGTGGAGGATGGCCGCGTATTTGTTTGCCTGTTGGGTGGCGGAGGCACGCCGCACGCCGCACGGCTCCCAACTTCGCGCTTCGCGCTGCGCGAAGCGCGAAGTGCGACTAACTTCGCGCTCTCGCGCCGCCTCCCAGGGAAGAAGAGGAGGATGAGGAGAAATCGGAGCCGAAGCGCGAAGCGCGAAGCGCGAATAACTTTGCGCCCTCGAGGGCGCCCTTGGTCCAGTGGAGGGTGGACGCGTATTTGTTTGTTTGTTGGGTGGCGAAGGCACGCCGCACGCCGCGCGCCGCCGCACGCCTCCCGCCAGGGGAAGGGGGCGGGGGAGTCGGAGGGAGCGGCGCAGGGCGGGTCCTCCCTGGCAAGCGGGGCAGGGGATCGGCTTCTCAGGGTGAGGGTGTGTTTTGTTCGGCGTTTCGACACTGGGCGAAGAGGGGGGGGTGGAGGGGGGGGTCTGGCTCGGGACCTCTGCTCAAAGCTACGGTTTGGAACCGTGCGTCCTATGAAGGGGAACTCCACTTGCTCTGAACAGGCGCCCAGAAACATACCAAGATCCACTCCATGCGGGGGGGGGAGGGGGGGTTTTCGAAGGCCGACGCCAATAGGCAAAACAATGAATAAAAAAACGACCACAAAAGTTTCTCGTGCTCGTTTTGCTTACGTTGTCCCTCGTCGTGTCTTCAGTCCGCCTTTGCCGCAAAAACACGGAACCGAAACGAGAACGGCCCACGAAGTCGCCCAAACAACGTCAAGGTCGACCCCTGGCAGGGGAGTGGGCCAGGGCGCCCGTCCCGCCCAGCTGGCGCTCCACGAGTCGGTGTGCCCAGGGATATGTTGCTCCATCGCACTTAAGGACCACATCCCAGAAATAAGCTCGAGCACCCAGGAAAGCATCGAAACAATGTCGAACGAGTATCGCCTCCCAGAGCCCGACACGTGAAAGCCCTCCAGTGTCGGTGTACTTGCTCGGCGCTCGAAATTCATTCATGAGGGTCGAGGCTAAGCAGGCTGGAACATCCTAAGCCCAGGGTCGGCCAAGGAAAAGAGACCGTCGAGATCCTTCCTGGCGACAGGCCCACAGCGCTGGTGGGCCGCCCCACCCGTGCTCACTTCTGGCTCCAGAGGAGGAGGAGGAGGAGGAGGAGGAGGAGGAGGAGGAGGAGAAGGAGGAGGAGAAGGCCGAGGAGGAGGAGAGGAGGAGGAGGAGGAGAAAGAGGAGTAGGAGGAGGAGAAGGAGGAGGAGGAAGGGGGGGAGGAGGAGGTGGTGGTGGTGGTGGTGGAGGAGGAAGGAGGAGGAGAGGAGGAGTGAGGAGGAGAGAAGGAGGAGGAGGAGAGAGGA